CATGGAATAAACCTATTACTTGTTCCTTTGCAGCCTACGCATGCTGACGCAGCTACCCACCTGAACTATGTATTCTAATGATTAGTAATGCTGTATACTTTATGTAATTAAAAAAATGATAATGCCATCAAACAGCATGATGACATCACTGTTATAGTGCGGTACGGTGACATATACTGCATCTGCATCTGTTTTAAAGGTGTGGTGGCAACATCCTGTCTCAACAATATAATCATTATATTAGTTGAAAAATGTCACTAGTACAGTGTACATACAGTATGATTAGCACAGGAAAGCACTAATTGGTTAATAAACATTTAATACTGTAATGATTTGGGTGACAGCCACACACAGCGGTGGTACTTTTAAAGATTCACTGCATCTCCTAGCAGTTTAACAGTGTAGTGCAGTCCTGCATCGGATTATTAAAAAAAAAATTCCATGACACTGTACTGTTCGTCATGTATACCACCTGACACCTTGTGCTTTCTAGATGGTTGCATCTGCACACCTACAAGACATAATGACTGAAAATATTCCCTTTTCTGTTCTCTAGGTTATTATTTTTTATTTGCTAAGTAGATTACCTTAAACAAGGTGGCTGAAAAAACATACAATCATGCTTAAAGTAAACACAGAAAATAAATCTTTGGTAACCTAGCCAAAGTAATTATTTTCTCAATAGTAATTTTACCATTTCTTCAGGTCTTAATCCTTTCATCATATAAAGCCCTCCAATAACACAATTCTAGATGAATGATTTAAAATACTGCATATTGTACAGTTGTCACTAAAGAAAGTCATGTTTATTGCACTACAGTAATGCTAACTACAATGATTGACAATGGGTTTCATTACAGAGATGTAACTGATTATCATTACATAATATGCTGGACTAGCCCTTAATGTCAGATGGTATTAAAATATTATAACTTGCTTTCTCACTCTCTTTTAACTGAGCCTTCCAGAACAGCGACAGCTTATATCAACAGTGCTTTAACAACCTTATATTCCATTATATTGTGTACTGAATAGTGACAAATTTTTAAGTACACACATTAACCTTTATATTCTGTTAAAGGTCAATATTTATTTACTAGGCAGATTTCAGATCGTGGAACTGAAAATGAAAGAACATTCATTTTATTTTACATGTATTTTTTTCAAAGTCTTCAGGTAAAGCAAGGATCAGTTCTGTGACAGTATTTCTATGTCCCACTGAACCAAATGTATGTCGAAAGAAGTCACGAGCTACCTTAAAGAATTTGGTTTAATATAAAGAATGCTATATAAAGAGTAAATACTTATGCTTATATCTATATATTTATATTCAGCCCCATCCTTGCTGAGCTTCTACAAATCAGGATGTGTCTTGATATCTGTTTCATCAGCACACAAGTTTATTATTGGCTTATTGCTGTTAAGCACAGTTGGAAACTCAAACTCACAACATAGGAATTTTAAGTTTTGATCTTTCTTTAATGATATATATATATACATTTTTTTATTTTATGAAGCTAACTATTGACATACTGTAGCAATAATTAGCGATTGCTGCACAAAGAAGGAAGAGAGCTGTCGGTAAACTTAGCGCTGCTTTGAAGTGTACATCCTGAGGCGGGAAATATCCTGACATATTTGAAGAGTGTCGGAACCTTCTTTGAAAATAAGAGCTTTTTTGTTTTCTTAAGCTATATTAGTATATTGTTTAACACAGAGTTAAGTTACCATAGCAGATTTTTAGGAATGAAATGTGAAAATGTCCTGGGCAACAGTGTTTATTTTATCAGTAATAAAAAAGAGCTCTTTCCAGATTCTACATTAGAGAAAAAAAGAGTAAATACATTAGTGAAAATCTTCACCCAGCTTTGTTGATATATAAAGCTTTTGTAGATAACAGCTTTGCTTTGTAATTGTTCAGTAACTGATGTGTGTTTCCAACCCTTTCTCTTAGGTTCACATCATTGGAAGTACGATGGTAATTATCAATTATTTTACTGCATTTTGCAAATTATTCCTTGTTATATAGCTAATATTAAGATTCCCCTTATTCATTGTTAATATTTCCTTTTAAAAATCACCATAACCAGTAAACATGTTCCTTTAAAGATATATGTACAGTATGACTTTACTCTGAGTTAGCTATGTCACTTTCTATTGTGTTTAAAATAGTCATAGTTAATTAATATTCAGATTCCCAAAATTCACAGCCACTACTTGCTCTTAAAAAATGATAACCCTGAAAGATTGAAGATATCTGCTTCCTCCAAAGGAATTAAATATTTCTCTACTAATATTATGTACTACTAATATTTTACAATTGGTCAAATTTAAATATACAATATTAAGACTTTCCTCTCTGTCAGCTTTTCTTCGGCAATAATTTTGTAATGAAAACTTACTTATTAAGGGCATGCTTTACAATAAAATATTTTTTAAAATACCCCTGAATTAATTCAATTTGATTTTCTGGGGAGACAGGGTGCTCTTTATTATATATTAATTCATTGGCTTACATTTTGTTTGTGTTGTTTGGACCTGTTATGTATTCATTCATTATTGCTCACTAGTACTTCTTCAGCACTAAGTCCACTTTGATAATCTCTGAGTTTGATCTCCAGAGATAAAATGGTGTGAAACCTACTGTAAATGATAATCTTAAGTAAAATGTTGGCAATGGGCTTCAGTCAAAGAGACTGACTCCACAGGCACTTTTAAGAGTTGTTATTCATGTGTGTCCTCTGTTTTAGTCAGTCTTGCTGTTCCACCCTTTGACCACTCTGTAGCACATATTATAGCAGCTCTTTGTAGGGGGCAGATACTGTAAGTATCAGTAATCCGAAACAAGAAGAAGAAACCTACACCTCATCCCAGACAATCAGCCAATTTAATTTCCAGGATACTTACCTACAAGGTCAAACATAATTTAGAATAGCAACTGTTTTTCTCATTTTTTTAAAGGAAATTTACATTTGGCTGCAGAACAGGGCAAATACAGTTCAGATATTTTTGTTTAATTATCACCTGTTTAATATTTAGTTGTTCTCTTTTCATTTGAAAAAAAAAACTCACATTGGATTTAAAGCAGAAATTACCCACCAGCAGTAAAACATAGGGCATATATACCATAATACATGGTCAGATGCGTGTTAATCATTTTCTTTTTTTGACAGATCAAGAATTGTGGCCCTCAACATTTGAGCACTGTAGTGGGAAATCTCAATCTCCAATCAATATTGAAACTGGAAAAACAATATATGACTCCAGTCTGCCAGCTATTGTTCTTGAAGGATATGACCTATCAGACAAAGCGTTACTGAAGTTACAAAATAATGGGCATACATGTAAGTTAAAATCTGCTGAGCTAACCCCCACCCCTGTAAGAGATAATGAAGATCTAACTGAAAGCTCTGTAGGTGAAGATAATAGAAAAGGCGTTATTTCACCTGCAGCTTAGCACTGAAGCAGTATTTTGTGTTATTTGCCTTGTCTTGCTCAAGAGCACATACTGTAGTGTATTGCTTCTTCAGGACTCGATTCAAACAGTGTTACAGAAGGTAAAGCATGAAAAATAGTATTCTTTATTTTAAAAAACCACAAGGTGCATCATTGCAGAACTGAATTTTTATGGTAAATGATCATGGAAAGTATTAAGAACAATAAATGACAGGACTGTGTACTTTAATGTCTACTCCAGTACAGCTAAACTTGCCAAGCACCATGCACATAGTCCAAGGTTTCGACAACATGTTCATAGCAGCCCAGCTTCACTTCCATTGGGGAACCAAAGAGGTTCCTGGATCTGAACACACGATTGATAATGTCCACTTCCCAGCAGAGGTAAGATTGCTAGTCTTTTTTCACACGTGCTTTCCCCACTGACCTCTTTGCTCCACAACAGAAATATGCATTTTTCTAAGAAATTAAAATTTCCTAGTTTTTTTCACTTCCTCTTTTTTCCCCACTAATATAAAACACATGTAGTTCTTTTAAAATCGGGAAAAGATGCTAATTCCTCTTTGTAAACGTTTAATGGAAGAAAATAAAAGGCAGATTTAAAAAGCCCCAATGAATCACAAATTCCTTAACTTGTAAGTCAGTATCTAAAGACCAATTTAACACTTCTTTGCTATTAAGATGTAAGTAATAGATACCAAGAAAACACTTAATACCAAATTCCTATTTTAATAACGGGCGCATATTAATGGATTAATAAGGCTTTCTTAAAACCGCACATGCACATTTGTCAGTACATGGCATTTGTAATAAACTGACAGAATATCAATGAGTAAGAATGAAAATCAGTAAATAAGAATTTACTGTACCTATTTTTGCTCATTTAGTAAGTTTAAACTAAACTTTAAGTTTTCTCTTCTACATGTATTTCTACAATGTTAATTAAATCACTCTGTTGAAACACTTCTGTTTTGTTGTAGATCCATGTGGTTCACTACAACTCCAAGTATGCAAGTTTACAAGAAGCAGCAACAAAGCCGGACGGTCTGGCGGTACTAGGGGGGTTCATCGGGGTAAGAGATTCCACTGCTGTTGCAAACATAATGCACAGTGACATAGTGACATTGCGCTTAATCGCTTATCTTATTTGTGAGTTTACTTATATTAAACAACATGCCTAGATAAACGCTACTGCTAGCCTTTCTTTCTGAACTACACAAGGACAAAGGAGTGTAGATGACAATGGCTCACAGTACGAATTCTCGATGTAAAACTGCTTTCTGAACATTTCCGTTTAGCAACATCCCGAGAGGTGCTGATCTCTGCTCATGTTATTTACCGAATTTAGATTGGTCTGCTTGAAAATGAAAACTATGAGAACATCCTTTCTTCTCTTACTGATGTCAGTTTAGAAGGTAAGATGTGGTTCTACCTACATTTAGTATCTAATTATAAGCAGAATGTTAATGTTAACTTGGTTATAATGTTCTTTAATAGTGTTCAATAATGAATGCAAGAAACAGGTTTTAAAAACGGCTGATTTACCAATATGATCCAAAGAGTAGAGAGTGTGCTTGTAAAATTTAGAAAAAGGTTATATGAAGTCAGGGCAAAGGTAGGAAATCTCACAAGGCTCCTGTTATGTTAAGACAAATCCAAATGAAAACCTAGACTTGTCCATTAATATCATACACTGTATATATGTAGATATATAGAATTTGCATGCGGTGTAAAAAGAGTTTTGATGAAAACTGACAGAATATCGAATCACTTTAGAGTTGCCCAGTTATTACCACGTTAATCATCTTCTGTTGCAAACTGCACAACCTTATTTTTGTAATAAATATTTCTCAATGTGCTCTTGCATAAGCTATGGACGTCACCAGAAGTAATGTTCTTGTCGTATCAAACATTTGCCAAAAATAGTTGTGGAAATTTGGCCATGAGAAGGTTTAGAACTGGCTATATGTGACAATTACTTTAATATCCTTGAAGTTAGAGTTATGTTTTCATTTAGAGTCTGTGCATAGAGGCATATTTAAAATGAATCGTATAGAGAGAGCGGTATATACAGTGGACGTGTACCTTCTTTCAAAATGGTTTAGAAGCATCATATATCATTTCCAATATAATTTTTCTTAGTACTACTAATCACTACTGATGTCTATTCATTTGGTACAAAATTAAGAGAGAGGTTTACATTTTTTCAATTCATTCAGCAAAGCAGATAATTTACTTATTTTCTACAAGCTTTTGACATGGGATTATTTTCAGCTACTCATTGTAATTTCATAGATGTATACGATCCTTGCAAGCACAAATTTGGAAATCAATGAAAATAAGAAGAATGTTTAATACAGGAAATATAATATAAGAATTGGGTGGCACAGTGATTAGTATTGCTGCTTTGCTGGGGCCCTTGGTTCAATCAGAGGAAATGAGAATGACCTACTGTATATACTGTAGCTGCATGCCAATCAAGATAACTGAGCCTCGTCATTGTAGTTCAGAACCAGCCCTCAGTCTCATTTCTCCCTTGACATTTTTCTACTTTTCTCCACCTCAAATTGTTTATCCTAGCATTTGTAACTCATTAGGAAAAATACTTTAAATGCTATAACAATCTGATATAAATATTATCAGGGGAGCTTTTAGAGTTGTATGAAATCCAATGTCTATTACACGCTTTTTCAGAAACGAACACTGAGATTCCTGGTTTCAATGTCCGACATCTTTTGCCGCCAAACCTGGAGCGCTTCTACCGCTACAATGGATCACTCACCACTCCTCCTTGCTTTCAGACAGTGAACTGGACCGTTTTTAATGACACAATCTCAGTTTCAAGGAAACAGGTCTGCAAGCAGCACAGCTTTTACCTTAGACAGTTGTTTTATCTTTCTTGAACTTTGAAATCCTGACTAATAAATATTCCCTAAAACATCTGTTCTATCAGGTGACTGTCTAGAAAAATGAACTTCCAAGTTACTAGAAGAGCATGCTTAATTTTACTTTTGTACTTTGTATTAATTGTAATTATATCACAAACTATACTTTTGCTGAATAGTGCAGCGCTACACGCTTCATGGTTTTGCAGATGTGTTTAAAGGTGCTTTATATTATTTACTTGTGGACTGAGAACAGCAGAGTTTGTTAATGTAGACATTGTTAAATGTAGAACTCTGAAATCGCTAGAGAACTCAGGCATGAATGCGTTACGTCAAGACAATAGGACTTGATCTCTACCTTACTGTTTCAGCTGCTCAAAAGCCTCAAAATTCAGCCTTCTGAAAATTGTTTTTGATCATGTATTCTCCCTTTCCTATCATTCAGTTAGCAGCACTTGAGGACACACTTAAAGCAGGACAGTCACTGCTCTCCAGAAACTTCAGAGCTGCACAGCTTCTGCATGGGAGGGAAGTTTATTCATCTTTCAAGACTCTAGAAACCACAAAAGGTAATGGTCAGAATTGCAGTCTATAATAGCAGCACTTTGTGTCTCCCGCCTAATGGCATCTTGGAACTGGTCGTAGTATATATATATATTAAGAATTTAAATGATTTCAGGGAGATTGGATAGATATCAACAACTGTGGAAATTTTCCTTCGACGCATTCCCATGAAAGTCACGCTAGATGAACGATATCTGACTTGACCTTAATAGATAAGTCAGGAGATAAGAACAGTAAACAAGCCAGTTCACTACAATGCTATTTAACTGTTTCTACTAACCCGAATGAAATGCTTTCAAATTATTCTGCTGTCCTTGCTGGAAGACACATTGACCTCATGAAGTTAATAAGTAAACTGAGTGCTCAAGAAACTTTGTGTCAGAGATAACATTACAATTATTGGTTGCATTATGTAACTCTAAAGAAGGCAATATTTCTGTAAAATACAGTACAAAAACTTTGCAGATCCACAAAAAGAAATAAACTCTGCTAAATAATATTCATAATGATTCATAGTTCAGTCTTGTTTACACATGACTGCATTGCTTTCTGTATCATTTACAGTACCCAGTGGTCTCACCTATTGAATTAACCACTCCTTAAACACAGAATACACACAGTACAGTACACCGAAAACAAAATCAGCAATGCCATGCTGGTGCTACTTTCCCAGCAGGTATGGTAAGCATGGGAGAGATTCAGACAATGTTACAGTAACTCTAATATCTTGAATGTTCACTACTGTTAGTAGAACAGTTGTTTGTTCTTTTTCCTGAAGACTGTCTATGATGAATAGGACAAGTCAGATGATACTGACTGAGTAAAATAATTTTAGTATTGCATTTTATTTATTGCATTGTAATATGGCATATGCACATTGAATTGTGCAACCACACATTCTCACCAGAAACCAGTATAAAAGATGGTACTGAAAAAACTGAATCACACTGCCTGATGCCATCTAGTTCACTGATTTCATATTTTCTTTATTGTACAGATAGAAAAGATAAGAGTACAAAAAACTTTTGAAATCTAACATTTAGAAAATCTGAATTAAGAAAGCTCAAGAGCCTTGTCTGAAGTGCTGCCTGCAGTATCTCTTTCTACTGTTTTGCCTCTGGATCCTTCCGAACATACCCAGGCCAGATGGGTACTTATATCTGTCTTTATAATTACCCGCTTGGTCCAAAACTGGGTTACAAACCAAATTGTGATGGTAAGAGTGGTCATAGGATGTTTTCACAACTTACCATGTTTTTAACATTTTGATACAATACTTTGGGGAAGAGAGCTATTTTGAGTATTTTAAGTGAAATTTATCTTCAGTGAAAAATACATTAAATTGACTAATCATGAATAGTCCTCTCACAAATGCTCGGTATGTATTTTGTGATACACCACTGTCATGTCACAAAGTCTTTAACTGTAACTAATATGTCTTCACATGCATGGCTTTAGAATTATTTGCTTTAGGGTCACCATATTATTTGTCTGCTTATTTTGGTGTTTTGAAATCCAGCCTTTTCTCACTTTTGTAGATTAATTGTTGTGCTATGATTAATGTTTCTCCTGGGATACCCGTAAAACTGTCACCTACTGCCCTTTGCAGGGTCTCAAGTCAATGGGAATCACAATCCTAGTAAAGGCAGATCTTCGACGAATGCAGTGGGTGAGTAGTGCTTGTGCTTATACTCACGCATTCAAATATTCACATTTCTTCTTCTGACATTTTTCATTTGTGAGACTTTTAGAGATGGTGCTTTAAAAACTAAAATTCTTCATTTTTTATTGTACAACTATAATTTTAAAGCAGTAGTTAATAGCAAGGCAAAAAACACAATAATCCCAATAGTCAGTCTTGTTTCCTTAATTTCGCAAAATGCAATAGATACATACATTCTTTACAGTATGTGTCTGAGTAGAATGTATAATGGCAGTTTCTTGTCTTTGATCTCTTCATAGGCCAGGGCTCAGTACTTCATAACCTTGTGTGGTATTTTCGCATTGGATACTTTAAATCCAGTATGTCCATATATTAAGACATATACTGTAGTCTAACAATTCAAACTCACAAGGCCATTATACAAATATGTGAAGAATGTTTAATATAAACAATATCACATTGTACACCTTTGTTCAACAAAGCTTCATTACAAAACCTTATATTTTAATCTATGAAGGGCTTATTTTTTATCTATAACCTATTAAAAGTGGGGACCTGAAAGATGTGCTGTACATGGTGGGAAATGGTTTGTCACAACTTCTACTCCAGTGAGTGAGTCCACAGTCAGTCTGGTGGTACAAAATAATGTGAAGTCTTGTGCTACCAGTGAAAAGATTTTATCTTCACTGCTGGGTGGGTTTTTTGTGTATGTCACTGTACAGCACATTCAGATTTGAAGAAATGTACAGTGCTCTATAGCTTATAGCTGTATAGCTTTTTAAGTTTATGTATAGCTTTTTAAAAGAAATGCTAATATTTAGTACTTTGATTTATACTTCTAATTATTTAATCGCTTCATGCCATGAAAGAGATTTAACAGGAAGCGACTTGAGTAGCATTTATTAGCCATTGAATTTGGTTTATGTGTTTTAAACCAACTGATAAAATACTATTTTACACTAAATACACTTAATACTAATCATTTCCTCTAGAAACACCATAAACTCACCCTGCACTTGTGTATTATCATTATTGTATTATTATTTAAAAGCCTAGTTATGTATTGTAATTATTATTAATGTTATACTAGAACTAGTTACTAAAACTAGATTAGTAGAAACAGTAACTTGATAGTTCAGGTGGGTAGCTGTGTCAGCATGTGCAGGCTACAAAGGAACAAGTAATAGGTTTATTCCATGCTGAAAAAAAAGAAGAAAGAAAACACAATGTTTCGGCCGTGGAGCCTTCTCCAGGTATTAGCATGTAACTTGATATATCTGTATATTAAAAACAAACACTGTTGATTCTGTGGATGTTATATCTTATCTAGTGAACACTACTTAATAGAGCATATTACATTTATTTTATTACCAAATACTAACTAATACTTTAAATACTACATACTTTCTTTTTTCAATGAAGCACAAGGCTGAGTTGATTCTCAAGTTGAATAACATGATAATTTGAATAATTGAGCACACATTCTGGAATTATAGTTTTGGTATTCATATAGATTATATATTTATAATTTGACCTTCTCTATAGGAGGCCTAAAAAGAATGGATGAATAAAAATGAACTAGATACTAGTTTAAAAAGATGTATGCAGCACTGTACAATAAGTTTTACTGTAGGCTGACATGGTGGCGTCTTGCAACTGCTGTCTTACAACTCCAGGACCATGAGTTTGATTGTGGATCTGTTTGTGTGAAGGTTGCATGTTCTCCATGTGTTAACAAGTACCTGTGTGTACTTTGTATGTTCTTCCTGTCCTCTGATGGGTTTTCATTAGGTGCTCCAATTTTCTCAGACCTTCTAGAGACATTCAGATTAGGTTTGAGAGGCTATTCCAAATTGTCCTTTTCCAGGAAAAGAAGAGTGTCGAGGTGATGTAATTCTAGGATGTCCTAATACAAAGAGTACTGGCTATGAATGAGATTACAGGGAAATAAAACCAAAAGAGCTTGATAGCTGTTTGGCCTATTCTCTTCAATGGCCTTTCTGATGATCGAACTTGTTTGGTATTGTGTTATGATAATTTACCAATTTAAGACAGTCTCTGTTTCTGTTTTATACAGGGGAAGAAGAAGGTTTCTCCAGAGGTACGGTCCTGTTGTTACACAAGTACACTATAGCCTCAACTGCACTATAGTAACCAGGGGCCTGCAATACAAAAAACATGGAATTTTCTTCACATGGGTTCATGGATAGCCCAAAAGGTCAATCAGACCTGGAAAACAAAACAAATTAATTGCTCAAATAATTGGCTAATGAGGTCACTGAGAGATCAGCTGCAATGATGAATAACAGGTTAACAGAGCGGAACAACCTGTAGTTAAAGACTGTCCACAATATTCCAGGTCTGAATACCATATAAATATGCAGCATTGCAGCATCATAAAATATAACACTGAGAATTTAAAGAAAGCTATAAATTCCACAAAATAACTTTACTTGTCTTTATCTTTGAACCCCATCCCATCACAAATGTCTAGAATAATTTGTTGTGTACAGTATGAATCAAGTATGATATGAAAACAGTCACTGCTAATTGCATTTCTTATCTTACAGGATACATTCTGGCAATTGCCTTTGGAGCACTTTTTGCAATCACGTTGTTATCGTTCATAATTTATGCAGTTCAGCAACGGAAAAAATACTCAAGGTAATTATGAATTCAGATTTCCTGATTCTTTGCAGATATTGTTTTATATGCTTACAATTTAAGTAAAGCAAAGAAGAAGTAGAAAGCAAATAGAGATATATGTAACAGACTACAGACAATTACAAAAACATATTTCCATAAAATACCATATACTATAATCACAAATGTCTTAATTCAATTCATACTTACACAAAATGCTGTTTCTGTAGATTCCAAAAGGATTCAAGACAGAATGTTATCTACAAGCCAGCAACTAAAGAAGAAGCTTGACCCAAAGTACTGAAGAGGAGTGACTGAATTTTAGCAATGTATTGATTCAAAGCGTCTGCAAATTAAAAGATACATTATATATGCTGTATATATTGATATTATAAAATATCTTTTAATTGCTTGACAATTTTATGTTCCCATAAATGTAAAACATGCAACTACAAATATTTTGAATGGCCTTATAATAGATTATATAAAATATAAAGATATTTGTTATATGTGGTATTTTCCTGCACTGCCTTTCAACACAAGAAATTTCTGTATGACGTAAAAATGAAATACAGACATATTAAGTGCAGTTTGTTGGTACCTAAACTTATTTTTAGGTTTAAACAATTTGCACAGGGTATTGGGAGTAACTTACACTGAATCTGGGCATTGATTATTTGCCCATTACTCATTTTAGCATTTGCAATGGTAGGAAAGTGCATATTTTAAAGTGAAAAAAATCCTACTCTTTGCTTGTTATGTTACCATCAAGTCTTCTGATTTTCAAGCAAAGAGTAAAATGACTTACTATGACTAAAATGTTGCACAAATTTTCCACTTAAAACAGTCTTCATCATCATTCATCCCACTGCTATTGATAATCCCCAAAGTAAATAGAAACACACAGCAAATACTTTAGTCATTCATTACCAGTGAATTGGCAATAGTGAAGTGACCAATCCTTTATTTGTCTCTAAGACGAATATGTGGTTTAACATATCACCATGACTGAATCAGTCCTGACTGGTACACACTGTCACTAGAAAAAAGAAAACGACTGTCTTGCGTAATACCTGGCTATTTCACTAAGCAGAATGAACAGACAAAACCAAGCATAATTGTATCATGTATTGTTTTGACAGAATAAATTTTTCAAAAGTATGTATTTACGATCCTTAAAATAATGTCATGCATGCAACAGTTTTTGAATCTCAAATGTTTGTATGCTATTTATCTTTCTGTTGTATAGAGCACTAATATTTAATATTGCGTAATGATATGTTGTCTTTTGTACACATTTTTGCATAATCACGGTTAAATAATCATCATTTGAGAATTGTGACTGCTGGTTATAGTCTAAATGTTTTTCAAATATGTCCCGCTTTTTTGTTCAGTGCTACAATTTTCGTTCCATATTTCCTCTTTGCTATGCTATTAAATTGTGGAGTTTGTAGTAAGGAATGCATGCAAGGCTGAAAAAGATGTAGAAACAACAGAGTACTGTTAATCTGCTCTTTTGGGATCTACTAACCTTTTCATGGTTTGTATTGAACCATCAGAGCTATATTTTATAATTCATGAAGGCAAAAATATGTTCTTGTCCACTTTAGGTCAGAACACTTTTGAGAAAACCTGAAAAACTGATACTAGTGATTTAGGGATGAATAAATCAGATATGTTCAATGGCAAAATTAGAAAATAGGACATTTCAGACACAAAGATTGCTTTAATTGCCAATTAAGGCAATTCTCCACATCTAACCCAGGCAACAAGCTCTCTTTTTTACAATGATGGCTAAGGTCAACATGTTAACACATGGACTCACAACATCAATCTTTGAGTATTGTGGAAGATCGATTTGTAATGGAACAAGTAAAGGTTTATTCCATGTTGAAAAGAGAAGAAAAGAAACTTTCTTTTCAGTTTAGTTTGTGGAGCCTTCTTCGACTGGTCAAAGGTTCAAAAACCTTTACTACTTCTTTTGGAAGCCTACGCATGCTGACGCAGCTACCTACTTGATGGATTTGTAAGGTCTAACAATGTTGACAAGAGGTGTAAAACTCTTTTGTTGTTATTGTCTAAACTAAAGAGACCAGTGTGTGCTGAAGTTGATAAGACTTTGGTAGACACTTGGTAACACCAGTGGGCAGCTCTGTTTATTGTTGTCAGCTGATAATATATTGTGTTATCAGTCACAGCTACAGTAAATAGACCAGGGGTTTTCAATGGGAGCAGCTGCACACTCACATAGTCTTGTGGAGGATCAAAAGGGACTAATTCTACTTCAGTAGGGGGCGCTATAACAAGAACTTGCAACAGTTACTATGTAAACATAGAACTGGCGCTAAAAGAGGAATAAAAAACCTGCTGGATACCACACCTGCAGAAACCATAATACTGAATATTGCCGATATGTTCTGAAACCAACTGCACAACTTCAGCACCTGTGTTGCCAACAGATGACAATATATTGTGCTTACTCTTCAAACTACATTTAAAATGTTTCTGAGCCAATTTTGTAAGTGTTCAGGCATGGAAAGAATAGTCTTTTTAATTACAAAAAATATCCTTAAAATGTATTAAACAGCATGTCACTGTCACAGAAACTGTCAAAATGCAATAAAAGTTATTTACTGTAAAGATAACGGTATTTCTCATGATTTACATCAATCATTCATCAAAATACTGCCATGTGTTGGCAGTTATGAAGACCTTCAAAGTATCACATAGGCTTTACGTTCCTTCAACAAACCCCCTTTCCCCTCACTGCTAATTTTTTCAATTTTTTCCTACAGTATTATTCTAAATTGCTAACTTTTCCCTTCTATTCCTTCAATTTCAGTTAAAGCCACTTTGTTAAAAAAGAAGAGACCACAAACTTGGTCAAGGAGCTGAATCATTTTTGTGGAAAAACGGACTTTTAAAATCCATTAAATTTAATTCATTTAACTGTCAGTCCCATCTCCCTTAAACTATTCTTATTGAATGCCCATCACATTTTCTACAGTGTTATTATTTTATTGTTTTTGTATCATTTACAAGTTCACAAGTTTACCAGAATGTAAATCATTCATATAAATTAAGAAGAAATCAAGTACATACTGTATCCTCTTGGTACACCACCCCAGTAAGAACATCATTTCCTTTATGTACTAGTTTTTATACATTAACCAGCTCTCAATCAAAACACTTCTTTCCCTATATATCTGCTACTGATAATTTGATCATATTTATAAGAAGATTTATTAAAGGACTTCTGAAAATCAAAATAAACCATAATAAGATCCAACTTTTCTAAATCCACAGCAACAATCTGCTAGAACACAAAATATTAATTCTAGTATCTTCTTATTGCCATATCTATAATCCTCTAGTTAGTTCTACTTGTTTCCATAATCTTGCATGTAACTCAAGTAAGACTTATTGGTGTATAATTGGTTCAGTTTTATTGCCATTTTTATGAACGGGTGCTGCATGAGTTATTTTCCAGAGAAAGAATATTACCCTTGTCTCGGGTAAATGATGAAAGTTTTTTTAACAGCCTCTTGTTTCCACAAGGTACAAATTGGTAGAATATAGTGAGATCATAGAGATTTGTTTCAGTGTTTCTAGTACCTGTGTAATGTATAAGCTAATTATATGCTAATATTTTTATATATTAACTTTAATAAGAACTTTCTCAGCCTGAGGTAATTCATGCAACTATTTTTTTCCATGGGAAAAACTTTAGTGAAATATAATTTTAATACATCAGCCATTATTCTTTAATTGCTTAAATTGTCTTCATTATTAACACTGAAACATGTTAATGTTCATTGCTGTTATAACACTGAACAAATCTTGTTATTGTACCCTACACTGGAATATTTTTCTGCTTTTCTTTTTCTTATATTTTTTTGGCCAGGTTTATTACATTTACATTATCTTGATCCTATTTTGAACTGTTGACTTCTCCTTCCATGTTTCTTAAAATATATATAAAATCATATGAGCTACTGATTGTTTTACTCTTGTTTTACTTTAGACTAACTGTTGCCACCCATTTCCTTCTGATTCATACATTTATCATGTCCCATTCTGCTTCTTATAAAGTCCATCTCCTTCTTTCCCATTCACAGTTTTATAAACCTTAGTTTCAGGGATCTGGGGAAACAAGCACAAACAGAAAAAGGGGTGCAGGAGTCTTTATTGAAGTGGTTCTGATCTTCCATTCAAAGGTCTACTAAATAACTGCCTCTACAGTAACACCCAACAATGTCTAGTAATGTACAAGCTGTTTTTATAACAGACTCACCAATAATAGAACCCCCTGTGAGAATGTGGGCTTTAACCCATCACCAATAATCTAATAATTATCACCAAGTGTGCCTATTGACAATTGTCAGAGGACTTTTGGCCTCTAGTGGCATGTCAGCTGCTACTACAGTCTCTTCATAGGCCAGTCTGCCACAGGTGTTTTAGCTGTACATGATTTCAACTCAACTCACCGGTAACTGGTTTCACTTTTTAGATTCTTTAACAACTAAATTCTAGTGGGAAAACAAAACCCAGGATCAAATTAGCCATTCTACAAAAAAAAGGAAAAAATCAATGATAATTAGAGGCACCAAATTTCCACAATTACTAATTGATAAGAAAACTAATTTATCATTAAATGGATTTCCACTTAACCCAACAATTAACCCCTAGATAGAAATAGAACAGTTAGAATGCAAAAAACTCATTTTCTGATTACGCATTTCTCAATACTTCAATAGAACATTAGATCTATGGAGGGGACAGAGGGGAGGAGAAAGAGGAAGGAAAGAAAATGGAAGAACAAGGGAGAAAGGGGAAGAGAAAAGAGTTATTTCAGAAGCAGTTTCTATCTTCCTGTCACACAGAATGTGCACGTTCATGCTTGTGTATAATGTTTGAAATGCTAGAATTGGGTCGTATAATATCACACTTGTGTATAAATTGTGTGCAACCATGAAACTAGGTACTGTATATTCATTCTGCATCTGTGTCACCTGGGAAGTACCTGTACCTACTGTACTGTATATCCATACCTATACTTTGTATACCTATACTTTGTATACTGTATTTGCATCTGTAATGTACCTTTAACTGTACTTGTCACTGTAACTGAATCAGCATCTGTGCCTATATAATTACCTGTACCCACACCTGAATTTATGTATTTATCGGTCTCTATAGGTATACCTGTATCCATTTCCTTATCTATACCGGTATGTGTGTAAAAGAAAAAAAAGATCAATACAGGTTTTCCCTCTAGTGGTTTTTCTGGCTAACAGAATAAGATGTTACTAGCACTTGTTTACATCACAATCACATACTAATGCAGAAGTTTCAAACGTTTGGGTTTTTTCCCTCTTACTCCTAGTTTTTAAATTAGGACAGCCAGCTCTGCTCTGACTGCTGGATTGAGCTCTTCAGGACCAGGCTTGGCCACTCCTGTTACAGTATATACATGTACTGTAGTTACTTGGTTTATTTTTCTCTGGGATTCTCCCTGCAGACATTCTTATGATTCTCATTCCATTTTTCTGTGTAAGCAATCTGTAATATCTTTACAGACTTTACAATGAAAATCTGAGCCCTTTACCAATAAAAATCTCACCTGTAATGTTTCTGAGAATGGAGTCCCCAGCAACCACTATGTCTCTTTGTCTTGTGCTTTTGTGTCATTGTTAATGTCTGAATACCAGTGACACCAAACGACAGGTGTCTTCACTTCAGTCCTTGGGATTGTGGCGATCTTGTACCTGCTATCTTGAGTTTCCATGACTTGACTGTTTGTTACCAAGTCCCCTAGTTGTGCAAAATTCTTTCGGTGATATTAGGTAGGCTTTACTAGATTAGCTTCTGAATTTTGTGTGTTTGACAACCTGGTAGCAGCTCCTCTCTGTAAGTGTCTCTCTATTGCTGTGATGATATGAGAAATCATCATGAATGTGAGATTGTCAGTTTTGGCATTTTCTACTCCAATGAATTCAGTTTTTCAGAGTTTTTTGTGAATGTTGTTTAGCTGTTGGGGGTCTTCCAGCATGCTTCCCATGATACACTAGTCACAGATTACAGAATTGGGAATCCAGTCCTTGGAACCTGATGTTTCTTCATGCCATCAAAACACCTTTTCACTTATGCTCTGACATCCTAACTAACCCATCTTTTTTAATCCACATTTCTATTTAAAACCAAGGAAACAGTACAAGCTAAATGCCAGCAACAGCCTAGATTTCTCCATAATGCAAGATCAAATAACATGCTGGCTCTCTTCCTCTAAGAAATCAAGCATTCGAAACTAAACTGCAGCCTTATCAACAGAATCTGCAAGAGGTTTAGTGATAAAACACCCACAAGCTCACATCACAGGCATATTCTGCTGAGCTTGTGTTTTCCTGCATGCTTACTTTATGAATACAGTACATTATTTTGTAATCTTACCCCCCATTTACTGTGTAACTTACAACTTTATGTTTTTTCTGCATCCTGGAAATTAAAAAATACACAGTGCGATGCTAATAGAGTGTTTTCACAAAGTCATCTGTGACTGTATAAAATTCTATTACATCTACAGTACTTCCACTGTATTGGTAACTATAGGTTGTCTTGGAAAAAGGTATGACCAGGTATGACTAGTATAAAGAATCATTTTTAAAGTAGAACTACTTCTTGAAACATCTCTTGAAATATCTGGAACATCTAAGTGAACAAATATATCACACTTTATACTATATGTTAAAACATTTATACTGTATATTGGAAGCAGCTAACAGCTAACAATCTATACATTTTCCTCACAAATATTTTGGCTCTACTGTGATTTTTCAATGAAACAGTTAGTAGCTTTACATGAATAGGCAGTAACATTAAATTAAAATTTAAATGTAAATTATAAAAATCAGTGCAATAGATTTGAAGGTAGATTGTTAACATGGAAGTGAAAACACGGTCCTTGATTCAGTTACAAATTTTTAGCTTTTAAATTTGGATTTTCTGCAATAAGGTATTTGGTGTTCAAAACAAGTACAAAAACAATACCACTGAAAATTCATTTTTAAGAAATTATATGATGAAGAAGATCAACAGGCCAAATACTGCTCTCCTCCTTAAAGTGGTTTCACGATGAACAAAACATCGGGTTTATGGAGGTACTGAGGTGTCAATCTCAAACTAACCTAAGTTAGCAATTCCCAGACAAAGTTGAACATGTAAATTCTTTCTAAAGAAAACAAAGATTTGTCAACTCATTATTCTTAGGATATTTTGGTCTGGTGGAACACGTGCCTCTTTTATTCAAGAGGTAAAATTATAACCTATTTAAACCATGAAACCTATTGAACTACTGTATATTGAAAATTACATGCAAGTGTGTTTGTTTCTTTACATAGAGGTGACATTTCACTAAAAGGTTGTATTTGTTTAGAAATAGGTTAGTTTGTTGTGTGTAAACATTAAAGGACAATAGCAAGTGATAGGTAACACAACAAAGACTATGTGCAGTTTTTACCTCAACCTTTTAATGACATATGCAAAACAAATATTTTTCTACTTATGTACAGTATTGCGACAAGTAGTTGTTTTAAAATTGTCCAAACTTTCTGCATTTACATGTTCACTGCATGGCTCTTATA